ATATATATATATATATACATTACTGACAAAAAATTTTATTTTATTTATTGAAAATCAAAATCTGAATGTTTCGACATACACAAAAACGTTAAAACTATTAAATTATTATAATAAACATAACACCGATGTCAGAATTAAATATAAAGTTACTATTCGAAACTAAATATTCAAAATTTTCTTTTGTTTCAAAGTACTGACGTAACATCATTTAATGTTTGAAATTCATCATTTTTATCGATGACTTGTTCAATTTTATTTGGTTTTTTTCCACGGAATGATTGAAGATATTCAAGTGATTGAAGACGATTATGAAGAAGATCATAAATATCAAGTAAACAATACGCATCAGTTGCTAAAATAAATAAAAATAAAAACTATAGAACAAAAAAAAAACAACAAATTGTTTAAATACCTGCGTAAAGTGTTTGAGGATGTCTCAATGGTCGTCGATCCCAATTAGAACATCGTTCAGATTTATTTAATGTTTTACCAAAACATAAACGAACTAATTCACTAAGACCTTTATCTTTTGATGTTGTATTATTTTGCATTATAGAATACGGAAATATATTTCGTCGACTATTCATCAACTATCATGAAGAATACAAATCATAAAATTAAAAACATATATATATGTTTTTTTTCTATTACTTACATCTATTTGTATAAGAGATAAATCTAATAAAGTTTTTCCAGAAAGAAGTACTTCATCAAAAATTGGATAAGAAGCACTAAGCATAGAAGCATCAGCTTGAAAACCATAACCTAAAAATGATTTTCTTTGAATTTTGTTTAACAAATATATCAAACTTACAAAGTATTGTAACATGATCATCATTAAACAATCGATTAGCTAAACGTTGTTGAATTGTTTGAGAATCACATGTATGAAAAAAATGAAGTACATCAAGTAAAAATATTTCATTTGAAAATGCTATTTGTATTATACTAAGACGTTGTTTTGATGTTGATGTATTATTAAATATTGGTTTCCATTCACCTGAAAGAATAGAACAGGATTATTCATAGTGATGCATGAGTCACTAGCGAAGAAATTGTTATGGATACTATCTTTTTCTTTTTTTAATTTTTTAGTTTCGAGAAATTTTGAACTGATAGTAAAGAATGTAATAATAAGAAACTAGGCCTTCATCTTTAAAGTATCAAAATTTTACTGAGGTTTTCGTCTCCTTCAGATCACTTTTCTAGTATGTCCTATCCTGAGACATTGAATTTTCGAAATTTTTCTCATGTATGAAAGCAGATTTTGTTCATCTTTAGAAAAGAAATACTAGTTGCATGATCAACTAATTTCAATTAAGAACTTTGTTCTTGCAAAGTTTGAAGTTGAAAGTCGATTTTCGATGTGACCTGACGAAAATCCGAAAAATAAAAACCATTCTAGACTTTTCTATCACTTATTAAATGAATATTGTCCTCAGTAGAAAAACGATTGAATATCTGGAGAAGTTTTCTTGTTAGCTCATCGGCTTATACTTCTAATTATTAACATTGACAAAAATCTAATTTATTGATTTATATATTTAAAGATGACTAAATCTTTTGTTAGATTGAATTGAAATTTTTCATTGCATTGTAAAATAATAGAGAGTTTCGAGTTAATCTCCTAGATTCAAATGAAATATTAACTTGGATATAATCATCTTTAAGATTATGTGTTGTAATTTATCTAGAATTTCTTCGAAACTCAAGCCATAAAACAACTTATAATTTTATCATGAATGTATAAAGTTATAGATGAGAGTGAACTACATTTATCTAACTTTTTCTAATTGTCTTATCATTTTCTATTTTTGAGATGTTTGCAATCATAGATCAGACATCAAAATTTACACATAGTTTAAGTTGCTCTATCATAACCAGTACAAATATATATGGTTCAATGTTCAATTAACCATTTCGGAAAAAAATGAATAGTTTTAGCTGAAGTTCATGTGAATTGTATTGATTGCATCAGAGTTAAGAATATCTTTGTCGTTCGATTACCATGCGGTAGATTCATTAGTCCAATATCTTTCCTACAACTAATACTAGTTGTAATTCTAAGCAGAAGACCAGCCTAACGAAGAATTCTTGAACTCCCCATACATACCTCACAATGACTTGTTCAGACTCATAATACCAAAGGTTGAACACAGAACCTATTAGATAAGTGCGAAACAACGCAGCTACTCAGTTATGACAACTCTGGATCAAGGTTAAAGGTATTATCTTTTCAGTAATTTATAACAATAAACTATTATTTTGAAACTTACATATACTATTGATATACGATATGACGAAACTCAAATATTTATTTGATTATTTAGACTAGGCAAGAATAGGTTTTTATCCTTGTTATTCTGTTAGAAAGACTAGTACAATTACTTTGATCAAGAATATCTTTCTAAACATTTTGCTTAAGAAAAAAAAATTATAATTGTAAACGAATCAAAAATGTTTACATTACTAATTATCAAAACTAAGTTAACTATATTAACATAATATTAAAATTTGATTAGCTAAATATATGAATCAAAAACAATATATATATATATATATATATAAGTTGAGATGAAGACACTAATCAAGATAAAATATGAATTTAAATTGTATTGTTTCCTTTTTAAAGAAAAATTTTTTTGATATTCTTTTTCAATTGACTATCTACATGAGTAGGGACAAAAAACGAATACATGATAAATTCTAATCAGAATTATTCATTAAAAATAACATACAATCAAATCCAAGTAATAATTCTTCTTCTGTTTTATTAACATTAAATAAACGATCAAGTAAACGTTTATATCCAGACATTGAATCAATAAAAATTATTTGTACATGTTCTAATGGTATTTTGTAATATTCAATGGATGTATTTTGCGTAAGATTTTGATTACGTGTTACTGTTGAAGAACGATTATTTTGTTTAGTACGAATATATCTTTGTACCTTTTCAAAAAAAAAAAGAAAAAGAAATAAATAATCTTGGTAAAAAAAAAATAAATAGTTCGATTTAGAAGTTTGTTGTAATCTAACACTTTTTTATGTTATTACATTGAATAATCTAAGTTGATTATTAGAATGTATATCAAATATAATGTAATTTAAATGAAAATCAATAACGAATAAATTTAATATGAAATAAGAATAAAGAAAATAAAGTTTATTTGATTTTCAAAATTTGAATTTTACAGATTCAATCAATACAAAAGATATTTTATGATTTTCCCATGGAAATCTTTTGACTGTTAGCTGTTAGACATTTTCTAAAGTATTCAAGTGCTTTTAAATTCAATTAAAACCTTTTTTTTTCTCAATAGACTACAAGATTTATATTTTACCTTGTTCAAATAAGTGTTTATGGAAAAATAAATTTTATTTACAATTGATGAAAATTCTCTGTTTGTAATGTTTCTAGTTCGATATTTCTCTAACGAATTGTAATATTTTCTTAATTGAATTGTGAACAAATAGAATTTTCATATCAAATAGAGTATAGTGACTGTCATAAATCATATTAGTATAATCTTACCAAAAAACTTCTACATACCCAATAAGGTAATGTATGTTCAGGTCGATTTAATTGAGTCACTAAATCAAAAAAGTTTCATAAATCAAAGCAATACGATCTATTTCTTACTCCAATGTCTAACAGCAACAATATCATCTTTATCAACAAGTAATTCAATGAAATATTCCGATAAACTTGCATTCCCTTGTATAATTTCCTTGAATAAAAGAAGAAAATAAAAATAATAGAAAAATTTTGATTTTTCGTGTTTTTACTTCAACTAATTCATTCCATGCTTCATCACTCATTGTTTTTTCATCATTATTTTCACAATATTTAACATTAATTAAATAACTTAATGTTCTTCTATGTTGTAATGTCGCTAAATTTGGATATTTTTCTATTTGTTCATTTCCAAATGCATTCCAATAGCGAACAGCTAATTTACCTAGAGTTTTTTTATTAAAATTAAAATTTATTATATTGAATTCAGTTGATAAAATTTCTCGAAGTTTTTTTCCACCATTTTCATATAAATGATTTAATAAATCTAATACATATTCTTCTAATTGATGATTTTTATCCATATAAACATGAATAAGATGATCTTTTGTATCAAGTATTAATGGTAATAAAATTTCATTCGGAGAAAATTCTAATTGATAATGGAATTTGACAATAATATTTAATGCATGTTTATATGAAGCTGAATTTATTGGATTATGTAATAAAGTTCTTAACAAAAATATTAAATATTCTTTTGAAATTTGAAATATTTCACAAAAATTTTTTAAAAATTTTATTGGTAATTTTTTTAAAATTAAATCATTCATTAAATTTTCATCAATGTAAGGAATTTTAGCATTTTTATCCAATTGATTTTTCCATTGAAGAAATGATTCAATAAGACAATTTATTACATTTATATTGTTATGACTTGATTCAGATAATATTAAAAGATATTCAAATAAATCATTATATGGTTGATCGGAATGATTAAAATGATCCAAAGCTATATCAAGAGCTTCTTGATCATTATGAAAATGTAATTTTTGTGATAGATTTGATAATAGTGAAGACATTTGTTCAAATAAATAAGTCAAAAAAAAAAAAAGAATTAATTAATCTTTATCTTCAAAAACTTTTTTTATTCGTATAAAAAGTGTCAAATGTGTTTGAATGAAAGATAGATGGCAGTATATAACAACTAAACCGGTTTTGATGGAATCAGATTTTACTCTGCTCTATCTACAATATGAAATATGAAATTGAAGTGTTAACTCATAATAGTTTTTGAAATACAACTACTCAGGACGAGAGATTCAAGTGTTGGATTTCATCGAAACAAGCGGTGGATTCTGGTCTTGAATGGATTAAAATTACATGTAGTTTTATCGTGTAGCAATAAAATATTTTTCAAATGAATAACAGTCATTTAAGAGTGAGGTCTAAATTTACATTAAAACGATACAAGACTACGTCTATACTTCATTACAGTTCATATTTGAATATTACATACAGGATGTCTGAAGAGTAACTCCCTATTTTAAATTCATTATTACTCTCAAACGACAAAAGATATCGTAACGATTTTTTCACTGTTTCGAAGCATGCGTCATGACAGTTCGTTGTAGATGAAACAAGCGGATTCATCGTTTGATTATCTAAGATCAAGCACAAATTTTGTCTAGAGAATGTCTGGAAGTAACTCATTATTTTGAATAGTTTATTATTCTTATGTGAAAACAGATACTATAACAACTACAGAAGTGCATGGACAATGAAGGAATGTATGTAGAAATTTGAAACATTATATAGTATAGTAAAATATACACTTCAAAATAGTAAAACAGTTGTTATAGCATCTGTTCTCACATAAGAATAATAAACTGCTCAAAATAATGAGTTACTTCCAGACATTCTCTAGATGAAATTTGTGCTTGAGCTTAGATAGTCAAACGATGAATCGATTTGTTTCATCTATAATGAAATGTCATGACACATGCTTCGAAACAGTGAAAAAATCGTCACCATATCTTTTGTTGTTTGAGAGCAATAAGGAATTTAAAATAGGGAGTTACGTTCCAGACATTCTGTATTTCTGAACGAATTACAATCATTAATGTATACAAAAGTAATCAAAGTGCCGTTGGTTTATATGCGTCAAAAGACATAATATTTGTGCGAAATCATTGAATGGTTATCGCACAAATTTGACACGGAAAAATATTCTATCTAAAGTCTTTTTCCCATTCTTAAAATGGTTTCTGAAATCATGATTGTCTTTCTCGAAACTTTATCACATAAGATCTGTTGAAAGTCTGCTTTTGTTCATGTCGAATGCGTTCTTGTGGCAGCAGAGCAATGCAGCTCGATGACAACAATTCATAACACTTCAACTACCTTCGAACAATCAGAAAGCGAAATCAGCAGATCGGTGAATACGAATTTTCTCGTCGGTAGTTAGTAACTTGTTTTCGAGTGATAATTGAAGAAATTCGAAACGATACTTTGCCGCTCACTCAAGATGGCAACGTTCACTCCACAGTGTCGCGCGTCTTACCTTTCATAACAAACCTTTCTTAGTCTATCAGACAACAGCAACTATGATCGCCTCGATCTATGTCATATCAGAGCATTGTTCATCTTGAATAAGACAGCAAATTTTCCTCATTTTCTTGGTTAGCTTTTAGGAGTCGACACTGTCGGTTATAGATCAACCGGAGCCCATAACAGTCTCTACAATTTGGGCACTTATTTCGATCTATACCTTTGCTAAGGTATCTACTAACTGACACAAGTGCTTTGATCTTATGCTACTTCAAATTGTTCGATGGCTTCAAGCCAGTCCATGGAAAAAGATCGAATCCTATAGATCAAGTAATTATTCAACGATTTGAGCGATTTTTATAGTCAACTATCTTCTCAAACGATTTGAAAAGTAGAAATGCCGATCTTCTTTCATTCATCATCTAATTAACACGATTATATTTTCTCGATTCACTACTCTTAACCATTAGTCAACGGTGTCAATTGGATCTCAAAATTGAATATGAAGTCGATCTTCGAACTAATGTTTAAGAATATACCAAATGGTATTCAACAACTTCTTCTTCTTCTTACAAATGCAGAATATCATCGTTCGTATTACACATTACTGGTTATCGTCATTCAAGAAATGCTCGAATACGATAATTCCAATCATTTAACAGATATTAAAGTAAATATTAATCTAGATTTGTTACTTATTCGATCTCTATTGCGTTTAATTATGTGATCGTAATTGGGACTAATTAAAAAGAAGTTTCACAGCGATAAACACTGCCATTGATACATTATAACAGCAATGTCAATCGATAGGATCGATTGTGACAAAAAGGAAAAAAACTTTTAGACATGTACCGTTCATATTTCAACAAATTTACTTACAAAGATCTCAACTCGATATCTAGATGTATACATTCGATACGATCTGAATACACTTGAATTGATTATCAAGAATTTGTTTTGAAAGTGAATTTAAAAAAACTAACCGCACAAAGTAAAATTCACTTGATTCTAACTTGGTGAGTTCAACAATATTTAACACTAGGCGAAATAAATTCACATTCAGAGAGCTTTTAAATGCAATTTGCACACATTTGTTCACTAAGCTCTCTGGACAAAAGTACAATAGAACAACTCAAGTTTATTTTTCTTTCAAAAAGATGACACTTTAAAAAAAAATAATACCACTCAAAATCCGATCATATGTAATTCACCAGATATTCGGGTAAAATCTGAATGTCAGAATAGACAACAAAAGTTTCCTGACCATCTGTGGTCGATTCAAATCCGTTCGGCCAGGTCTTCATTGTACTATTGCCGAGACAACTTCGACCAATCAGTCCACGACAGATTAACATTGTTCGCTGTTTGTCCGCTGCATTCGGTGTAGAATAGTGGTGACTGACTTTCTGATTTGGTGAAAAATAAAAACCACGACCGCACGTCGATCTTAATTGAAATAAACAATGAATAGAAAAATTCAGTCACTCAAATGAAATTTTACCGTGCAAGCCGATCAAGTTCGAATCGAAGCCGAAATCGACGATTTTTAACGCTGCTTCTCAGGAACATCCGTGAAAAAGAATACGTTCTGTATCGTGATGGCCGACACAAATATCGATGATCTCTTTGCAAACTAAATACTGTATTGTGTGCAGAGAGTTGTGAACTTCATTGATGTAGATGATGCGCGTCGGATCTAATTATAAGAGGTGAGCGTCATCTTGAAATATACTCGACTCGGCAGGAATTGGTGATAAGAGTTCATTCGTTTTAGCCGGTATTTCTATTCGAGTGTCAAACATATAGTGGGCTTGTCACAGATCATTCAGCACTTCCTCTTTGGAGGATGAACCCACTATCACGCACGACACAGCCACTTTACCATGTTGAAATGATAAACAGATAATTAGAGGATAATGATTGACTGAAGTCAATTGAACGAAGTCTGTCACGTGCGTGCCCAGATAATCTGGTAAAGCAGTTAATAAGCTAACAACATCAATCAGATTCGTAAAGCATTGTTCACCAAATTACTTGAAGAGCGGTTCTAATCTAATCACACTTACTTTTCGTAGTCTTCATTCTTTGTTCGATCAATGGCGCAGGTGATGAATTGGTGTTTAAGAAAATCGACAATCTCTTTGGAGCTGAGGACATTTATACGGAAAATGCTCGTAGCAATGCTATTCTTATGATCGAGAAATAGAGTCAAAGGTTGAGACTAAAAGAATGATATGTTTTCTATACCGTTCATCTGATAATAATCTTACCTGCTCATTATGATACAAAATGACTCATTAAGAGTTTGACAAAGTGATTGCACACCGTTATATTTCATAATTGATGGAGTTCCATTGTTCAATGCAAATCGATCAATTTGATTCTTATTTATGTGGTTATTATCATTTAAATGAAAATGAATCCCTGAAATGATGGAATAAGATGAATACAATTTGACAACGAGATCATTATTATTATGAATGCTCGGTTGATCGGTTGAATGTTGCTCTTCTCAGAGAGAAAAGTGTATCGTATAGTGACTTAAATTCTATTGTGTCGGTTATGTCCAACTGGCTTAGGTCAATGGAGGGCTAAACGATGAATAATGATGATTATTTACAAAATCCGTAACATTGAGAAACATTGACTTACTAGATCGTCGTCACTATCAGAATCATTGTTATCGATAAAATCAGAGTCTGAAGAATAAGACGTTATATTGTCCTCTTCCATCGTCAATCGATTGCGAAGAGGTTCCATTAATACCATTCTGACCAAATTCATCAAATTTATACTTGACCTCTCACAAAACACGCGTTCTGTTTTTTTTCCTATGACTGAATAAGATCCAATAGAGACCGCATGGGAAGAAAAAAAGTCAAAAGCAAACATGTGCAGACAACAGCCACTTCAAGTGACTTGACACATAATAACGTCATCGTTTTGGTTTTTTTCTACACTGTAAAAAATAGGCGTAGAATGATAAACCCTCCAAATGGATTATTGGCCTTATAAACGCTTTCATATACCCTTTTCCTTCATAAACCTGAGGAAGGGTATTTTATAAGTTGCACTTTCATAAACTATTTAGGGTATATGAGCTGTAATATACCCTTAAAGGATTTATTAACTTCATGAACCCTTGGAAAAATCGTTTATTAATATACCCTTTAGAAGAAACCGTAGAATAAAAAAATCCTTTTTCGAAGGGTTTATGAAAGTGCAACGTATAATATACCCTTCCTTGGGTTTATGAAAGAAAAGCGTGTATGAAAAGATTTATGACACTAAAAGGGTATATGAAAGCGTTTATAAGGTTAATAAACAATTTTGAAGGGTTTATTATTCTACGCCTATTTTTTACAGTATACATGTGTAAAATAGAAGGTTGTTTTGTGAATTTCTTTTCGATTCATTTGTATAAGTTTGCAGAAATTTCCATGTGAGAAAATGTGAATGCTGCCATGAGAACAAGTGTTGACAACTTATAAAGAAGCAGAAATGTTATGCGAACCGGTCGAGGTGGCCTTAA